CCAATTATGTAAGGAAATAATGAGCAAATATGGAGTGCTAGAATGCGACCTAACGGAAGTATTTACAGCAATGTTATTATTCTTTACAATTCCTGTCACTTCTGCAGCAGCTGAAAGGTCATTTAGCAAATTAAAAATAATAAAAAATTATTTAAGAAATAATATGGACCAAACTCGACTCCGACATTTATCGCTAATAGCAATTGAAAACAAAACCGCATCAAGCCTGGATTTAAACGAAGTCATTGATACTTTTGCGAAAACTAAAGCTAGGAAAAAATTGTAAATATAATTGTTATTTAGTCAGTTGGTAGGCCCGACCTTTATATAATAAACCCTTGAATCTTCTCTATTTCGTGTTATTAGCCGAATCTACACCAAGTATTAATTGTAATTTATGTTGTTACTGTTTAATATTTTTATTACCTGCCCTGCAGTGCACAAAAAAGAGCTTTTGTAGCTTAGCATTTTTAAAGTATTTGTATATTTCATATTTTTATTTGATAAAACCTAATCAGTTTACATAGCAGTGGGGCCCCATTTTTTAATTTGCCCTAGGGCCCTTGGTTACCTAGCTACGCCACTGGTCTACATAATGAGTATCACAAAATAAATATATTACACTTTATGACCACTAATCATAAAATGAATCCAATTTATAAAAACAAAAGAGACAAAGAGGTAAATTAGCAATTAAAACATTAAATGAAAATAGAAAAGCGCCTGAAGCAGCTAAACTCAAATTTGCTTTATTTTAAATTAGATATTCGAACAAACATTTGAAGCAGGAAAAAGTAATGAAAAGCAATAAAATAAAAGATATGTGTGTTTGCAAGACAGCACTTCTTCAGGGGACTCACTGTCTACAAACGCAAACACACATATCTTTTATTTTATTGCTTTTCATTACTTTTTCCTCCTTTAAATGTTTGTTTGAATATCTAAACTTTATCCCAACATCATTACCATGCATTTTTATTTTTTTAAATCCTTTTAAAAGAATTACCAAAATAATGAATGTCATAAATCGTGCAAATTAATTTATATTCAAGAACAACGCTCTTTCCATGTACTTTTGGAAATCCTTCAGAACAATAACCTACATAATGAGTATTATAAAATGAATATTACACTTCACGACCAAATGAAATTATACTTCATTCAATATCTTTTCAGATGTGTCATAAACTCTGAAGCTAATGACACATTTTATGACAGCAGTCTTGCCGTGAATTTTCAAAATCCTTTCAGAATAATAAACTACATAATGAGTATCATAAAATGAATATTATACTTTACGACAAAATGAAATTACACTTCATTCAATCACTTTTTCCTATTTAGAACACGCATAATGAATGTCATAAACTCTGAAGTCAAACGTATAATTTATGACTGCAGCCTTGCCATGAATTTCCAGAATAATAACCTTCATAATGAGTATAATAAAATGAATATTGCACTTTGCATTAAAATCAAATTACACTTCATTCAATCTCTTTTCAGATTTAGAGCCTAAATAATGAGTGTCATAAACTCTAAAGTCAAGTACATTTTACAACAGCAGCCTTGCCATGAATTTTCAGAATTCTTTCAGAATAATAACCTACATAATGAGCATAATAAATTGAATATTATGCTTCAAGACTAAATGAATATTATCCTTCAATCTCCATTCTGATTTAGAGCGAACATAATGAGTGTCATAAACTTTGAAGTTAATCTTACATTTTATAACAGCAGCCCTGCAATGAATTCGTTCAGAATAATAACCTACATAATGAGTAACAACGTCCTAGCTGTGTATTTTAAAAATTCCTTTAGATTTATGTTTTAAAATATACATAATGTGCATCATGAACTATATAAGTTATTGGGTTTTTTGAATAGCCAACTAAAATTATATTTCCTTCAATTTTTCTTACTAATATAAAAGAATTATATTATTCAAATTAGAAGACATGAAATATTAACATTTAAATACACTTTATGAAAATTTTATCTAAAATTTTAAAAATTTAGCCATTGAGAACTGACTTTTGGAGACCCCATTAGAAAATTTTTTATTTCAGATGAACTTGATTTTTTAAAAACTAATGCCTCTATCATATGAAAGTTTCCCATGCATCTTTTCAACCTAAAATTCGAGAATTTAAAATAAAATTTTAATTTTTAGCGTAGTAGTTTGTAATAAAAAAAAAAGATTTTCGATAAAAGTTATAAATCACAATTGGTCTTGTTAGCAGCAAATATTTTGGATGATTTAACATGGTAAAACTGTTGCGCAGTTTCGAAGATTATGCTTGAAGCTCTTGGTGTGCTTTGACTCAGGGGAAATTCTAATCGACCAAAATTAGGAGAGGAAGTTAATAATTTATTTCCAGCTTTCATACCAACAATTTTGAAATCATTAATTAATTAATTATGTTGTTTCTAATCCCCAAGAGGTCCATCCCAATTAGACCAAATTCCTAAGTCCAAAAATGTCCAGAAAGTCTAAAAACAGATGAGGTTTGAAAAAACCAATCTGTTTTTAGACTTACCTTGTCGATCAACCTCGTCGTTAATTAATTATAGAATAGTCAATTTAAAATATATTTAATTAGCTAGAGCAACAAAAGGCTTAATAGCAGATGATAAAGTAAGTGACTGAAAAAGAATTCACTGTTTGTGTTTGACACGCATTAAGGGTTGTCTCAATTTCAAGCGCGGAGATATTTCTCTTCTTACTCCCGCGCTGAAATGAACTATGCATCCGAGGAGGTGAAGCTAAGAGCCAACTCCTGGAGAACGAATTATACAGATTACTCGTTTTTATTATTTTTTTAAAAAGGTAAGTTAACATATCAGTTAGGTTTACCAAATAAGATGAGTGGGAGCAGAGAGGCTAAATTAAAATGTTTGCTTCATTATAGACAGTGCGGGACTTTTTTATTTTGTGACGTAGAAAAATCAAATATTAACCAACCTATAGCCAAAGCATAAATATTTCTCTTAATATTGCTCAACATCAAAAGAAGCCACTTTCCAAGGGATTGAGATTTTCTTCCTCACGCGGGAACAATCATGACTCGTTACGTAATAAAACAAGCTGAACCTCTTTTTCTGACTTCAAAGATTTGTACTGTAACTACCACTATGAACTTTGATTACCAATTCAGTAGTATATAAAACAGGTCAACTCAATTATTACTTAATTGGTAATTAATATTTGTAGTGGTAGTTACGCTACAGATTGTTGAGTCTGAAAACGAAATGGCTAAAAAGCTTCTCCTCACCCACTGTGTCTATTTTATAGTTTGTCTATTTTATAGTTGGATAGAACTCCCCCCCCCATTCCCGAAAAAAGAATAGCGCATTTCAAGAGGAGAGCTTCTCTCTATATTAATTCCGTTTGACTCCCCGTCCCTAGCCAAAACCTGTCTTAAATATTGAACCAACAACCCTACTTGAAATAGTTTAACCTCGTCACCTTAATTACCACACCGGCACTGCTTCAGACAAATGGCGAAGGGTGCTGTTTACATAGACAAACTATATATTTTTTCATGAGGACCTAACATTTTTGCCGATAGAAAACTTTTTTTAATGAAAGAATTTATTGAGCCGTAGTGGCTCAGGGGATAGAGTGTTTGCTTTCCAATGAAGTGAAAAGGGTTTGAAACCCAGCCGTGGCTGGTCGATACGAATTCTGCATCCGGCTTGCACCGACCACAGTGCTGACGTGAAATATCGTCAGTGGTAGACGGATCATGGGCTAGAGTCCCCTTGCAGTCAGGCTAACCATGGGAGTTTCTCGCAGTTTTCCTCTCCATGTAACGCAAATGTGGGTTAGTTCCAAAAGGTCCTCCACGAAGGCAAAATTTCTCCCAACATTCGATCCAGGAGTTCCCTTGTCTTCTGGGTTGGATTCAAAATTACAAATCTACGGAGCTGAACATTAGCAGTCGTAAACCCAAAAAATTAGGTCGGTTGTTCAACGACGGTTATAAAATTATAAAAAGAATTCATTCTGTAACTGATGTGTAATATTCAAATACGTATTATTCTAAATATTCTTACATTGCATGAGGCCATTTCTTGCAAAGTATTTCCGCATTACTTGCACGATCGGGTAATCTGCAATTGGTCCAGAGATAAGGAGAATCTTCTGCTGATCCTACCATAAGTTCTCCAGCATTGGAATGAGATGGATTGCTGTCTAGGAGGGGGTCTACTATCATTTCATCTGCATCTATTGATTCGCTTACATCACTGGCCTCATCGGATAATTCCTCTGAAGCTTCAGGCTCTGGATCAGATTCCAGAGAAGCCTCATCCTCTTCTGAAGGATCTTCGATACTTCGTGAAGACTCTTCTTCTTCTTCGGTATAATCTTCTTCAGTATAATCACTCGTATCATGCCTTCTCTTAACCCTGCCATCGGAATCGAAAACATTATTTGATTTGTCGGCGCTGCTGTCGCTAGGTTCATCAGACTCTTCGTGAGAAAAAGATCGTTTATTTCTTTTATACCTCGAATCAATAACTGTGATTGTTTGCCCTGAAAATGAAAACGTTTTTACAAATACTATCGCAATCATCTTCATAAATAATCAGAATTAAAAAAATTAATTAAAATATAAGAGTAAAATCACACACTACTTGCCTGATTTTGCAGACAATTTCCTTTCATCTGTCATAATATATTTGTCATCTAAAACACCAATATGCATATTATTTTTAAGTTAAACACAAACAAAAAATAACCTTAAATCTCTTTAGAAATAATTATTTAAATTGTTTGGCTAAGTAATTTCAACTTACGGACAACGTATTCTGAAAGAGTGCTAGCTTCGGAAAGAGAAAAAAAATTAGCACTTCGAACTTTCCCAACATATTGTGACGCAAAAATGTTATGTATAAGATAATTCGGGATTTGTGACACAAATAAAGCATGTTTGTCTCATAAGTCCATTGTGGACGCTTTAAAAAATAATATAATAAATAAAACAAAAGACCAAGTTTAGGTTTTAGTGTTAATTAAGTTAGGTTAAGGGTAAAACAAAAATAAATAGCTACAAACAACTAGATCAAAATAGTTATTATACCTCCGAAATGTATGAAACTCAAAATCATCATAGTTGGCCAGACAGCCCAATGTGGGCCAATGCCTTCCTCTGAAGATTTCCCCACAACGACTTCCGATTTTAAAACTCAAAATAATCTTTTACAAATTGTGTTTAAGAGTAAATATGTTTTTCCTTCTTAAAAAAGGGAGGAAATATTATTTTTTTCACTGTCCATGTCGTCTCCATACCATAATTGTTCATCAAATATTAAGATCTGAAATGTATGGCTACTATGTGTGATTTTAATACTACCGCAACAATTTAATAATTACTATTGAATTTGAATATGTTTTTTTTTCTTTTGTATCAAGTCATCTATATCAGCATTAGTTCTTGGAGATAGTTATAAAATTAGAAATTTTAGATGCATATCAGTTAATCTTGAACTTTATTTTGAGTTTATTTTATTCCATATAGGAAACATTAGCTCATAATAATGTGTTCATCTTCTTCTTCTTGGGCACTACATCCTATGACAGGCCAAGGCCGTTCCAATAAGTTTTTGCCATCTTGATCTATTCTGTGCCTATGGCCTTCCAGTTCCTACAATCTTTAGATCCTTCTCAACTGCGTCCAGCCACCTAGTTGGTGGACGACCCCTTTTTCTTGTACCTTATAGTTTAAAAAAGGTTACTTTTTGGGGGTGTTGGTATTTAGATATATAAAGGTGTCCCAACCATCGAATGCGATAGACCTTAATAACATGAACTATGTCTGGTTGTTTATACTCTTTATATAACTCATGATTGTAAAGGGTGCGCGAGTTGTTCTTCTCATTAAAGTTATTTCCAGTTAGCTATTCCAATTATGTTTAGGTCCTTCTCAGCTACGTCCAGCCACTTAATGGGTGGACGACCCCTTTTATTAGAGTTATTTTAATAATGTGTTCACAATTACTTCATAATTGCGTGTTATAGTGATAAAGCTTTAAATCAAATTTACTAAGCAAAGAATCATACATTAAAACATAAACTTTGCTACCACTATAAGAAATTTTCTCAGAGAGCGTAGAAAGTACCAAAACAACAACTCTCCAAAGTTTTGTTTTGCTTTATTATCAGTATATCGCTGCCTAATTATGGATATGCACTCGTTTACATGGGACATTGTTGTTTTTCAGAATCAGGCTCTGTCAAATTTAGTGTAAAATTTGGCTTTTGTCGTTTTTCTGTCTGAAAAACAGCAACACCCCCATAATTCCTGCACGGGATATATAAGTTCCCTATTAGAACAAGTTCTTTGACCCAGCACTTTTCTGAGTTATCGATTCTTTTAGTAAATATAGCCATTCGATCTTTCAAAAATTGCGCTTTTGTATTTAGCTTTTCTAAAAACAACATCGTTGCTGAAAAAACGAACTATAACCATCTTGTCGGTAAATGTATCCACTAACTCGTGAAAAAGAAAAATCAATGGTTCCTCGTCCAGAAGAAAAAAATTGCCAAAGTTGAATCTAATTGCTTTGTTAGAAATCACATCCATCCCCCTTTTTGAGACAGTAACAATGGAACTTCCCATCAATGTTTCATTTTAAAAATCGTGTGAAAACAAAATGCGAAATTTACATAAAATCGTGAAAATACGAGACACGATGCGCACAAATAGGAATTGCGATGTGTGCTACGGAGTTAAAATGGGCTAGTCGTAAACCCAAAATTGACTCGGTTGTTCAGGAACTGTTATAAAATAAAATGAAATGCGCCAGATTGTGGCAATTGCGGATAAAATATTCCCAAACGCGTCAGTTTAAGAAAATGTAAAATTTTCTCAAATCTATCAATTACAGAAAAAATTAAAGATTTCTTTGGGTGAGCCAGTTACGGAAAAATTAAAAATTCGAAATACAAAGAGAATGTAACGCTTTCATAAGGAAGCTGAAATTCAACAAAATAATTGAAATTTACCCTTTTTGTCATAATTCTTGTAATACTTCATATGTTTCTTTTTCTGTGCCAGCTTTTCTTTTTCATTCTTTTCAAATTTTTTGGTTTTTTTAATTATCTTAGGATCTAGAAATAAAATTACCATGCTCAATAGTATTTTGCTTATTGAATGGAACGTGTAGAATATGTTAAATGTAAAGAAAGTTTATGCCACCTACAAAGTTAAACTTGAAAATATGTGCAATTATCGTCTGGAAACTAATTAAATATATTTATATATCAAATGACAATGTGTGGGGAAAACAGTTTCACTGCTTTAATTTAGTTTGACCGAATAGCCTTCTGTCGCACAATAAAAAAAAAATTAACATAAGCGACAAAAAATTCAAAATTGATATTTTTATATAGTTGGTATTATTGTACGATAAACTACATTTTTTTCCTAATTGGCACTCAAATTAATATTAAACCAGTTCCTCCGATAGCCTCAATAGTATATTTCGATCAATATTCGAAATAATAACATTAACGAACATCTGCAGAGATTTCATGTAGGGAACTTACATTTTCCCTTCCGCAAATCGGTATAAAGATCAGATAAACGAATTTATACAACTCAAAAAATATTTGTTTTTAATGAAAATGAACAGAAGATCAGTAGAAAAATCAAACAAGATGTTATAATTTATTAATTATTTTATGTTTATTTGTTTTAAAGATGATCAGTTGCATTATCCATTCTTATATTTTCAGCGTTACGAAATAAAAACGAATTTCTTTTTGAAAAGTTGGTGGTGGCTGGAATTGACGTTAATGCGACAGATTGCAGTGGCTGGTTCCCTCTCCATCAAGCTACGAGCAGTAAAAAATGTACATACACTGCAGTACCCGAAATGTACATTATGGATGGGATCTAGTTCCCACACAAGCAACATCTCTATTCGGAGCTCCAAAAAATCGCTAATAAAAGCGTTAAATATCTATTTGTTCTACCCAATTCTTAATAAAGACAGCATGTAACACCCCAAGGCATCCCTGGTGAGTCTTTTCCGGTCTCTGGGAGGNTAAATTTTCACCAAATTTTGCGCTTTTAGTTTAATCTCAGATTCTGACAAATTTTTGTGAACAAGAAAACCGCTATGCCCAAAAACGGCTATGCCTAGGGCCTACGAAAGGTACAATTCGGCTCTGTTCAGACCTTTACCTTTTTTATAGTGAAGACGAAAGCCGAATCTTAATATAAAAACTAATACTAAAGTTATTAAGTTACCTCAGCCCTTACAAAAACCAGATGATGCTTCTAATATGGGAACATGGATGCCTAATGATCTTTAAATTTTTTATTGGATTTTTAACAGCAGTATTTTAATTTCCCTATGCATATGTTTGTTCCGTGGCCGATTTTGTTATGCACCATATCTCTAAACTCATTATGATTTTTGACAAAATAATTAAAAATATAAGTTCACCGGGCAAGAAATTAGTCACCTATCTTTTCTTTCTTCCTATTCACGTCTGGCAAGTCTTGAAAATGAGTGACTGTTTTTGAGCGCTTAAAGCATGTCACCTGTTATTTCCAATTTGTATATTTTTGAAGAGAATGAAGTTTTTAATCAAGTAATGTCTTACGGCTTCAGAATTCAATATGGACGAAAACTATTGATTATAACATTCTAAAATATAATATTTATACATACTTATAAATTTTTATTAATTCAATGTGAATACTAAATAAAAACAATTCAAGCTTTTAAGATATTTTGAAACAATAAAATCGTAAATATACTTACTTGCTCGAATGCGAATTTCTAAAGGAGTATCAATTTCTTTGATCGGATTCAGCCCAACTAAGAGATAAAAGAAAATTATAATTTATCTGCCATTAATTAACATTGAATTATCATCCAATATAATGTTACAAATATATTTATTAGTTTCCAATTTTCTCTGTTAAAATAGATTACTTTAAACAACTTTTTAATTATGTCAAAGAACTAAATAATTAAGATTGTTGCATCCAACGAACCTAAAGAGATCGAAACAGAGAAAAGGGGTAAGATAACACTTTTCTTTTTTATTTGAGAAAAAGTAAATTTTGGTCCCACTTTTATAAATATATTTTATAAATTTAAGGCATAACTGCTCAAAACTTCAAGTTAGGGCAATAAAGGATTTAAAGAAAGCACAATTCCCTTTTGGTGCTTTACGTACAATTGTTTCGATCATTCCCAAAATTTGGCGACTTCATATTTTCCATGCCAAAGTTTAATAATTTCGTTAGACCCTAGAATCAAGTATTAGCAACTTGAGAAGAAGAATACCACTGAAATTATATGATTGTGCCCAATCACGTCGTTTTGTATATATTTTACCATATTTCGCCATATCTCGAGAACTTTTTAAGTGAACTGGCAATTATAAAATTCTTTTATCCAAAGATAAATTCATGCAAAAAATAAATTTCAGTACATTTTTATAATTTTTTTATTATTTTATTAAATAATAGTCAAAAAAATTTGAATCAAGGTATACAGTTTTTTACGTCATTTTAAAGTACGTAACCAAAAATGACGTAATGTAATTTTAAGTATGTAATTTTGCCATGATCATGGATCATGGCAAAATATTAACTTTGAACAAAATCGGTTGAATAGTTCCTGAGAAATTGAATTTTAAAAATATGATTTCTTTAAAATCCAATTTCTCAGGAACTAACAACCGATTTCACTCAAACTTCTTATACTGTCGTGTAAAATTATATACTTTAAAATTATGTCAAAAATTTTATACTTCACAATTCGACATTTTTTCGACTATTAAAAATAATAAAAAAAAATAATATAAAAATAAAATAATACAAACAATTATATATAAAAAAGAAATAAAAGTAATATAAAATAATAATAATTATTTTATATTATTATTTTATGACTTTAGATATTCTAAATTTGATCTAACATTCATAGTAAAAGTAAACTCACAGCAGTTATAAAAATAGCATATTATTCGCAAAAAAGCAACATTTCATACTACGAATGAGCCATCGAAAAACAACCTTTTAAAGAGTTCCTATACATTACTGTCAAGCGACTCATCCCCTCCCACTCATAACTATTCCATACAGACTTCAGTGTCCCCACATGATCCGCGTTGGTTAAGTAGCCCGGATCACCTGGGAACACCAGATCTTTAAAGAGTTTAACGCAGAATGTTAATCACTCCGGACCTAGATTTAAACATCGCACAGCTACTACCACAATCAAATTTAGTAACTAATTTTTTTTATTGAAATTTTTCTTTTATTTCTTTTTAATTTCCTGTAAGACTTTCGGCGAATTTAATCAATTCACTTTAAAAACTCTTCCTCTTCAGAAGTTACTTTGTATTTTAGAAATACAAAATCAATCCGCAATCGTGTATATCTTACCTTCCATGCAATTCTTAAACGCTTTAGAAACAATGCAGTATTTCTTAATCATCCAGTCTTCACTTATGCGAAACCTGCAAAAGATAAATAAATAAACAAAAATTAGTTTATTCAATATAATGGGTTACTGTCCGGTGCAGTAACTTTGATCTCGATTTTCTAAATTTTCTAAAAACAGTTAGATTTTCAAGCACTGCGCAATATTCAAAAATGCAGGTACTAAGAGTATAAATTATTTAAAGTCAAAAGTCCCATTTTAATAAAGCTCTGTAGATTTAAAAAAAAGGCAATAAAATTTCTTTGTAATTAAAAATTGCACAACTGAATGTAACTCATAGGAAAATTACTTAGTAAAAGTCCTAAATGGTTATCATAATTAGTAAAAGTAGTTAATCTATTCAACAAAAAGTAAAAAAACACAATTCATTAGCTGATTATACCCCAATATATTTACAATTAAAAATTGAAAGATCCCATTATCACTTTTTAAGTTTGAAATAGCGGCTAAAACAAACAAAAAAAGTATCTATAATCTTTAGCTATAATAATTAAACAGTATAGTGCAGTAAAAATAGGGTTTAAAGTGGACATCTAATATTAATATCTAAAATAAGTGAGGTATAATAAGGTATTTTTGAGGTTGACAGATGTAAATAAATGAACCTGAGATAGAAAATGAGGTTATATTTAGCACCAAAAATTACCACATTAATAAACCTCAATTTCAACCTCATTTACACCTCAAAAAATCAACCTCATGTATAACTCAGAAATAATTTTAGTTCAAATCAGGTGAAATTATTCACACCCCAAATATACGTATTTGCTTGAAGTGTTAAAAAAAATAATCCGTACTCCTCAAAAACAACCTCCCTAAGCTTGTTGCTCTAAAGTAGATTTCCATTAACCTCAAAACAACCTCCCTAAGCTTGTTGCTCTAAAGTTGATTTCCATTAACCTCAAAACAAGTGTGAATAAAGGAACTTTATACACCTTGGGAGGTTGATCTTTTAAGGTAGTTTTTGAAATGAACTTTGAATCATTGGTCACTTTCCCAGCATAACAGTTGGTCGACATTTTTTCAGTCAGACAAAAACATATCCAAACTGTGACTGGTGCATGTTAAATCTGTTGGGGTCACAAAGTTCTCCAAGTTCCCATAACAAATCAATAACTCTGGGGGTACTGATCCAGGAGTTCAATTGTCTTCTGGATTGGGCTCAAAATTACGAGGCTACGGAGTTGAACATTAATAGTCGTAAACCCAAATTCGGGTCTGCTGTTCAACGACGGTTATAATAGGATGTACGTAACCGTGATGGCTCGAGGGAGAGAGCACTCACATCCGAATGAGGTGTTTCGGGTATAAATCCCAGTGATGGCTGGGAAACGAATTCGGCACCCGGCTTGCACCGACCACAGTGCTGACGTAAAATAACCTCATTGGTAGACGGATCATGGACTAGAGACCCCTTTCCGTCAGGCAAACCGTAAAAGGTTTTCGTGGTTTTCCTCTCCATGTAAAGCAAATGTGGGTTAGTTTCCTCAAAAAATCATCCACGAAGGCAAATTTCTTCTGGATTGAGTTCAAATTTACAAGACTACGATGTTGAACATTGGTAGCCGTAAACGTGAAATTGGATCGGTAGTTCAACGACGGTTATGAAATAAAATGTTAAAATGAAGTGTGTATGATCACCTCTAACAGATACACAACTCTCGCATCAGTGCTTCATACTGTTACTTATTAATCACTGTGGCAACCGCATCCACTCTTACACCAAGACACCCTTTAACTCATCGATAGTCATTGGAGCTGATCTTCGAGATGCATTTGAGTATCCAAAAGAGTCCCATACGTATTCGATGGGTTTAAGGTCACGGGGCATCACAGGCCACTCCAATCATTGAATATCCTCGAATTGGAGGTATTATTCTACCAATTTAGTTTTATTTTATTTTATAACCATCGTTCAACAGCCAACCCGATTTTCGGGTTTACGACTTCTAATGTTCAACTCCGTAGCCTTGTAATTTTAAACCCAATCCAGAAAGCAAGGAAATTTCTTTATCTAGTATTGGGAGAAATTTGCCTTAGTGGAGAGCATTTTGATGGAACTAACCCACATTTGGGTTACATTGTGAGAAAACCACGAGAACACCCCGCAGTTAGCCTGACAGCAAGAGGATTCTTACTCAAGATCCGTCTACCACTGAAGGTATTTTACGTCAGCACAGTGGTCTGTGTGAGATGGGTGCGAAATTCGTATCGACCAGCCGTTACTGGAATTCGAACCTGGTTCACTGCCAATTGAGTTCAGTGTGGACGGGAGTTATCATCCATAAATGTGAAATTTAGTCCGCATGCTCCATAGGAAAGTCTCACATAGGGTGAAAGGACCTGTGCAGCTCACCTATCAGAGACACATAAAGGTCGGTATGCCTGTCTGTCATTGCCACAGTGGTCCTTTTTGACAATGTTAGAGGGCCGATATAAACTCAAGGATTCTCTTCAGGTGAGAACGCGTCACGAGTCGCTGTCTAGACAGAGTTACGACTCATTACAGAAGAAAGCCTTCCCCCAATCATCCTTTGGCCAAGACAGGTGTTCTCGTCACCATGCTAGAGGATCTTTTTTTGGTTTACAGTCAAAGGAATGAAGATTACAGGTCGCCTGCCATACAGACCAGCTGCATCGTGTCTCTGGGCGTCAGTTAACCGTGAAATGAATGTTCCTGCTGCATTATACAGGTGGCGAGACAGTTATGTCCTATCTCTTTTGGCTAGAAGTCCAAATAACGGTCTTGAACCGGCGCTGTTGCCTTATTGCGGCCTTGACCAGGTCGGCGGATCACTGTTCTTGTCTCTGTAAACCTGTTTCCAAAGAGTGGACGTGAAATTTCTCGAAAAACCGAGGCTCCTACAACAGATAGCCTGAGATTGTCCAGCTTGAAGTCTTCCAACTCTCCTCCAACTTGTGGCATCATATAGACGATGACGACTGACCATACTAACGATGGGTATACAAATAAATTAAAAAAAAATAAAACAGGCTTCGAGACTATGAGATACCCTTACACAAACATGATCACAGCGCCATTGCCTTACGACATCTGAGGTCACTGCGCGGTAGTGTCCGCGAAGAGCTTCTCATCCGATACCTTAACTGAATATTGCCGTTACTTATTTTGTTTTAAAAAAAACGTTTCTCTCTTTAATTGTTTTCATCAGTGTATAATAAGTCATGGCAGACACGGAAATTTTATTCATTTATTTCTTCCTAAAAAATTTGCAAATTAAATAGTTTTTCAATTAAGACTCCCAGTGGAAGTCTACTTCGAAATCGTAAGTCACTAGCTTAATTAATAAATTTTTTACTTTAAATATATTTTTACCTAACTTTATAAAATCTTTTCCTACAGCCCTACAAGTCAACAGTTATAGATCAAAACATTTGCTTTTGTAAGATGGTAAAGGATGGCAACCCTTAACCCATATTAAAGCATTAAACAGATCTTTAATGCAGTTAGTTAAACTGCAATTTTTTTTTCTAACATTTTTTGACACGCGTGAAAAAAACCTCAAGTTCTAAAAGTTTAGCATTAAAAAGAAATAAATGCGACTTACGAATCTTGAAAAATTTTGGGTTTTCCATTTTCGTATATTTCATATCTATTCTTATCTACTTCATTCAGTGTCTTATTCAGGGAAAATAGGATCCAAGCTTGTGCTATGTCATCAGCAGTCGGAATTCTGTAAGTTAAATTTCTTTCCACTCTGTTCTCTGCATTGTCATCATCAATGAAAGGAAGAGCTTTCACGTATGAGCTATTTGTACTTCCAAGAAAAATAACTGAAAATTAAAAGAAAATTAGACAGAAGCCATTAAAAATCTGTGTATCTATTTACGCTTCTAAAAATCTATGTGCCATTTTAAACACCATTAAACATCTACGTGCTGTTGGCTACTTTTTTGCTTACGTACTAGTGTACTATATGAAAAATTCAAAGAGAATGTTTACTTTTTTTCGCACTTGCCAGCTTTACATAAACATGCGCAATACGCAATATAATATGGTTCGGGATCAAAACTTCGCCGATCCATAATTTCGTGGGTACAAAACTTCGCTGATCTAAGACTTCACTAATGTAGAACTTAGCAGGCAGGCTGTAGCTAGAGAAGTTTTTTTTTTCTTTTTGGAAGAGGTGGAGGTCTGTTGATTTAGACAGATTTCCTCGAACGAAACACTATAATGAGCAAATTCATTTCTAATAATTTGGATATTACCCATATCACTGTTACCAAAGAGAGTTATTAATTTTTTTTCTCCATGAAAATATTTAAAGGCTGGTCAAGGCCGATATGTTTAAAATATATTTGATTTTTAAAAATTAAACTATTATAAACATTATGATGTTCATGTGTAAGTCATAGATTTGCTACCTTTTTTAACTTACCGCCTACTTAGTAAGTTACAAAAATTGAAAAAATTTCAACTCTCCCAGAATAAAAGTTCTTTAGCAAAACAATTATTAAAATACTATTTAAAAAAACTTTTTAAAATTCTTTAATATTTTTGATATGATACACTTTTATTCATATCGTAATTTTAAAAGAAACTTCAACTGCTCAATAAATCTATTGAAGCTACATGAATAATTATACGTTTATCATTATAGGCTAAAAATTATTCAATAATATATATAAAAGGTATTAAGTTTAATATTTTTACTTTTATTAAAATTAAGTTAATTATGAATTTGAATTTATGAAAATTATATAATATAGAAAAAAATTTCAATCAAAATTAATGAATAAATTAATAATAATTTAACACCAATTATTAATTTTAAAATTTGCTTGTGCTAAGTTTTGTCCACACGAAGTTTTGTCCGGCGAAGCTTCGGCTTTGAAGATTTGACCCATTACCATGTAATACATCAGTATAAATATACACACACATATAAAATTTCTGTGGTGTTCAAAGTCCTAAGTCCCAACGTTGTCTTTCTTTATCCCAAGACCTTATTATACAATGGAATAAAGGAACCTTATTATACAATGGAACCTTATTATACAATGGAATGGAATTAAAAGTTTAAATGTATTGTACACTAGTAGCATTTATATTAACCACACAATTTACCTCATTATAGTCAAGTAAACAAAAACAATAGCATCTTGAAAAATAAGGCTTATCATTGTTTCAAAACTTATTATTATACAATAGAATATTAGAAAGTTTAAATATATTGTACATTTATAGCATTTAAAATAGCCATACAATTTACCTCCTTATAAAAAAAGTAAGCAAAAACAAAATGATTAGCACAGAAATATCATTTAATGAATTAAAAAAGGTAATCAAATACTTACGAACAGCAATTATAACATTAAGTTCCTTAATCATTTTGGTTCTATATGAATAATCTTTAGAAAAAACCTTTATTCTAAATGAATTTCTATGTGCTTGAGAAGTAAGTCAATGAAAAATCAAGAATAAATATAGGAGATATAAAACTAGACGTCTTCATAGCTAGTTCCGGGAATTTTAAATAAAATTAGTGCCGAAATTCTTAGAATAATATTATGTTTAAGACTATAAATCTGATGGTATTACAAAAATAATAAACGGTATGCATCCTGTTTTCCTGAGAGAAGAGAATTAAGGATATATATACGATATGAAAATCTATGATAAGAACAAATAAAATTAAACAACTATGAAAAATTTAGATTTTGAAGTATTACCTAAGGCTTTTTTTATATGCCAGTTTATTATATTAGTTTTAAACTTTAATTTTTCAGATTTTTTTAAACATTTATCTACAGATTTAACTTCCACATGATTCTACAGATTTAGATTGTAAATTGTAATTATCTAAATATAAAAACTTTCCATGAAGTTGTTTTTACACAACAAACTTTAACTTATACAAGTTTATTTTATCCTTTATCTCTGACTTTCAGCTGTTGTTAACGCAGAGCGTCATCGTTTAACGGATGATATTTTATGTTTCAAACAAAACAAAACAAAATTGTTAATTTTTTATCGACATATTTCACCGTCTTACCCACATGAAACATGCAGGGTTGGATAAAAATATGGAAACGCTTCTATATTAACTTTATGTAGACAATTTTTCTCTTAGCTACAAATGCTTTGCAATATTTTAAATGGCAAAACTTTTGGCACAATTCGAAAGCTCATGCTTGAAGGTTTGAGAGATGAGGTTCTTTTTACCTATTATATTTTGTGTTAGACACAATTTATGTGTTGGGCAATTTCATTAAAGTTTTATGTTGTAAAAATTACATTCGTTTCTTATATTATTGCACTCTACAATTCAATCTATAATTTGATTTCGATTTGATATTGTACGTTTTGCAAAACTCTACGAACCCCAGGACGAACAAAAAATTACGTTACTTGGCTAACATTTTAGGAATATTCTACCAATACAATAGATTTGTAAAACATATGTTTTAATTATTGATTTGTCTTCAATGGGTGAAATAACTATTTTTCAAACTTTGTAAGAAAATTTAAACATTAAAAACATAAATGCTGACAACCCTTTTTTCAACTACCAAAGAAATTTTCAATTATGGCATAATGAAATTATTGTTCTATGTTAAACATAATATGGTTAACAATGTTAAACATAATCATTGGTTTTTTAATTGGCAATTTTCAAAGTTTAAAAATTTGAAAAAACTTGATTTTTTTCTTCATTTAACTTAAGCATTTGCGAAGAAGCTCGCATGAATTTTCTAGAAATAACAAAATTCAATTCATCATTATTAGAAATAATCCCATTTGATTTTTACACCTAGATATAAAATGGTTAAAAGAACAATTTGTAAATTTAAAGATAACCCCATAAATTAAATATTATCAGAACGTAATAACGCATTTACAAAACCTTGATGTCGCAGTCTGGTATTTATGTCAAATTTCGCAATACGAAAGCGAAACCACCTAGTATGATATTATCTTTTTATCTAATTCATGATTGCGCAGGAAACTGAAAATCTAAGCTGATATCGAATCTTAACAATTCAAGAATTATCCAGTTAAGCACGGACTTTAATGTTAAAAATCTTCCACAAGTTGATGTAATTAAAATACAGTGACGTGGGTACACGTCGAATCTTAGGCAAATGGTCCTATTATAAATTTTTAAAAAAAATTACTACCAAGAATTTTTTAACAGTTTAACAGACATAGCATACACTTAAGACTGAAAAAAATAACTTTAAAATAAATTTATAAACGAATCCGTGGCTTAAATTACGTGCAAAACAGGCAATTCATGTTTCTCTTTTCTATTTTATATTTTTTTCTTAAATAAACACTTATTTTCTAAAATTATTTATGGTCAATTTCTTTAAATTATCCAGTATAATATTACCTTGCGCACATCCATTTTCGGGCCCATCCTTAATAACTAACAAATCAAACGCACTTCAGCAATGCAGTAAGAACGGCACTTTAAAACAAAACTCCTCTTGTTACGCTCAAATTGCGCTTTTGTTTTCATATTTTGCAATCTGGCAATCTTGTTACGTAAATATTTTAAATCATTCTTGAAAAATTTCCCGTTCATGTAAGTACATTTGAATTCGCTACTCGCTTTATAGTTCATGTTTTATGTTTTATTCTCTTTTTTCTTTTTCTTTTATTCTATTTTCTGTTTTTACGTGTTATTTTTACTTATTGTGTTCTATTTTATTTGCTGTAATGTTTGTAAAAATTTTTTTGAGTGCTCCTCACACTATTGTATTGATATATTTTGCTTTGGCTATATTGATACAATAGCAGAAAGCACTCTTTCTTGTGGATATAATCGTGTAGGCTGATGAAAAGATTATATCTTTTATTTTCCGCATTTTTATAAAAAGTTACTATTAGTTTGGTCAAATATGTAGGTACGCTTATCATTTCAGATTTAAGACTTTGTTTAATAAGTGTGCGCACACACCTTAACGATGCATAAAGAGCATCTTCTTTATTTTCAATTTAAAAATATTAATCAGAAAAATAAAGAAAATTTTAGTCATAGGTAAAACTGAAATTATGTTTATTGGTATTGTTTTAATATGCACTATACATGCGTACCTATATATACGTGTCATGATACCTACTATAAGCACTGGGAAAATAGATTTTTTGCAGCGTATTGAATGGAATAAATCGAAGAAAATTGCTGGTTGTGGAAATTTTTGACTATCAAGTATTAACTGAAACATTGTTCATCTTCATTCTAAATGAACGAACTACGGGACGCGTCATTTTGACGCATTTCGAATTTTATAAGGAAAATTACAAAACTCGTTTACATTTTTATTTTATCTCTTGTAATAACTTTTATCCATTGATCGAGGTAAATATATATTGAAGTCTATTTTTTTCAGAAGCGTTGAAATATTGAAATTCTCTTTGTGGTATACCTATCTCTACGGATATGCGTCAATTTGACGCGATCGTAATTTAGACAAAATTTTAAGTAAACATTCAACCATCACATCAATAATAAATAGGAATGTACCGACAATACTTAGATCCGTTATCCGATATAGTTATCCAAATGAAACAAGCGCTAAACAACTGTTGCCGAATGCAAAGCAGAATGTCAATTGATGTCCGATTTTGAAGGTTTCAGTTGCTTAGTTCGAGTATTAAAAAATAAAATACCAGAATATTTCATAAATATATATCTCATATTTTCATTTTTTCCCTTATAGTATATAGTTACATTGCTTTCCAAGTACAGAGAAGCCAACTGCTCCGGACGCGCTAAAATAATTTAAAAAAACGGTAAATATCTACTAAATAATTTTACAAATGAAGTGGTGAATTATATAAGCCTACGAAGTATTTAGAAATAGTGGTGCATAAAAATCTACTAAATTGAATTTATTAAACCAAGAACCACAATTGATAAACTACCACTTTAAAATATTTATATACTGTCCGGAGCAAGTTGGTTATATGTATTCGTTCATGCGTCAAATTGACGCGTGTTCGTAAAAATAAGTACATAAGAAACATCCGTAAACCTAGTGTTAATCTAATAACGTAAGGCCATAAGGAAAAGCAACAAATAACAGTATATAAAAAAACTGGTATTTTTTTAATTAAATTAATTGTGCCAGCATATCTCTTTCAATTAAGCCGACCGGTCTGTGTATAGGGGTTAGGGAACTGCCCTAGCATCAGAAAGGTTTTGGGTTCGATTCTCGGGCAAGGCATGGATGTTCTTTCCTTCTCTGTACTATCTGTCCTTACTGCGGGAGCAACGTTGGCCCACCTAATATGGTACCCCTGAAAGAGTGGCCAACAAATCTGCCCTTCAGGTGCCTGTATGACCTAGGTCATTATACAAGTGGGCACTGAAAAAAATTATTTTTCAATTGAGCCTTACCCATCGATTGATTATTTAGTTTTATTTCAACCTGTAAGAAAAAAATAGTATTCTAAATTTCTTAGTTTCAAGGTGTAAAAAAAAAAGAAAAATCCTCAACAATGTTCTCAGCAAATGGTAGCACTCGATAATTTATACTTTACTTAGTGAAAGACTTTTAGAAAAATGAATCTTGTGTTTTGATGTATGAAATGAAATCAGTGCTATTATTTGATCAGTGACAATGCTATTATTTTAATCGAAAATAAACCAGATAAATACTTTAAACTTACATATATATCCTTAAAGCCATATTTTTTAGTTTAAATACATTTTTTAAATTTTTTTATGAAATATTTTATATATGTTAAAGGAATTAACGTAAGCACACAAGCATAAATCTGTAACTGCGCGCTTAAGAAGACTCAGGAATTACGCAAACTGTAATAAAGTGATCAAGAATCGTGACTTATAAGACAATCTATATTTGCTTCAAAGTCGTAGAATTTTTCTTAGAAAAAGAGCTATAGATTTACATAGATTATCGTTGCAGTGTTGATCAATTCGTGTAAGTAAAACGTGTTCCTGGCATTTATTATTCTTTCCTTATTTGCTCCTCTTCTAGATTTCTGCCTTTTGCGTAGTCTTCTATGCAACAATTAAACCTTGGATGTAACGTAAAATCACTTATGTTTCAAAGAACCCACATGCAGGTAAGTAAACATTTGCATTTAAAGGTAATTTGAATTTTTCGGGTCTGAACTTATATCCTCCAATATATTGAAAGGAAAATCAACTGTTCTGTTTTCTGCGAAAGTCTTCATAAAGTAGTTAATATTTAAGCCTGATTCCTGAAAAAATTTGGCTCATTTCGCCAACACTTTAAAAAGCTAACTAAAGATAACGAGAAGAAAGTCATGTTTAATATCAATTTTTTTATTTCAAAATAACTTAAATCAGATATACTAAACGGTAAATCATTTATTAAAACATAAATTTTGATACCACTGGATAAGTTTACCCACAAAACGCACTGGTTACCTACACTGTAAGAAACTATTACCTACATATCGCTCATTTGGTGAAACAATGACGTAACTGATAATTACTCTGTTTAGGTTGATTTTACAGTTACTTCATTGTTTCACCAAATGAGCGATATATATCGTATCATGAGTAAATAATGCGTGTAATTTAGCGTAGCAATATTATCGGTTATTTGGTGAAACAATGACATAACTGATAATTACTCTATTTAGGTTGATTTTGCAGTTACGTCATTGCTTCACCAAATGAGCAATATATATCGTA